GGGTCGTTGGACCATCCATTTGTGTAATCGGGTCAGATTTGGTTGCTCCACTACCACCTCCGCCTATGGTGCTCGTTCTCACAGATGCCTGTTCGAAACCAGACAAAAACATTAACCCATCTTCCGTTTCCATTTCAGGGTTTCTTCTATCTGTCTCTTTCAATAATCGCGCTCATTCTTCTCTCTAAGAGGTAATTTTTTTTTTTCGCTTTATGAAATTTATTATTGCGTTGTAGATTCGTATCTCTTTTTGTTTCAGCACTTCATTTAATTCCTACTATGTGATTTAATTGACGTTGAAAAGCCGAAAACATTCAATAATGAACTACAGAGTTGAGAACTCCCAGAAAGTCCAACGAGGGCTTAAAGCGAAGGTTAAGAGCTTATGAAGGAATTAGGTTTGTCTTGTCAGGGCAGGATTAATGAACGAGACTCCAACTTCCAATCAAACTCAAAGTTTGGATTCCATTACCAATGAGGATATGGAATATCACTAACTGATCAATCAAAGAGCTTTAATAACTAAAATAAAGATCGACTCTTTGGGAATGGACCTTTTGTTGAACGGGATAACTGGGCATGATGAAGATAGGATTGGATCACCAAAGAATCATCAAAATTAGCGTGTTTTGCATTACTCCTTCAAACTATCGGGGATGCCTTGTCATCACATCAATTCTGGGATGCCTTGTCATCACAGCCACGACTTCGTCCTTTGCTATACCGAGCTGTACCGTAACCGTACGGGGGTTGAGTCCTCTCTCATTGAAGAAGGGGATGGTGGGCAGCTACTCAACTCCTAAAGATGTCCAAAAGTCATCGATTAGTCTACTGTTCTAGATGTTAAGGATTTAGAGCTCTCCCACTTGCTTGTTGTAGACCTCAAAAAAGAGAGAAGAGGCATTTGTTAGCATAGAAAGGCCAACCAAGCAAAGCTCTTTTTTTTGGCCGTGCCGTGAAGTGATGTTAGCCTCAACATCGGCCGTTCTAGGTGCTATTTGTCAACAACCAATGAGCGATCAGGCGAAAGGTATCCCAACGGACATCCTCAACATAATGCCTACTCAAAAGATGGTTCTGCAAGCCGAACTTAGGAGGCATTCCAGTCTAACATACTATGGTAAATAGGTTTAGAGAGAGGGAGAGTGGGATACAGGAAGTATAATAAACGATTGAGTGGCTATCCGACCATTCAATCGGCTATAGGGTTTTTAGCAAGCGGGTAAACTGATGAGTAATTCCCGATCCCTTGAAAATAAGTTTCTCTATCCAAACTCGTTCTAAAGTAAGAAGTCGAATGGCTTTTTTCAAATAAATGGATACTTTATGATAAGCCCACCTAGCAGAAAGAGTGGCTCTCAGACAAATGTACAAATGCTATAAGCTCCCTTTTTCCTCGCTAATCTGGCCCTTATCCTTACATAAAACTAGGATTGTAAAAGTCCATTTCTTCCACTCTTGCGGCATGAAAACGCTCCAACTTTCATTTCAAGTAGACAAGGGCAATGAAATGGTATTACTAAAAAGAAAGTAGTGTATACTTTTTGTGAATATTGATTTCAATATTTATATAAAGTGTGGCAATTCTCATATACTAATGAACGATTCATAATATGGATGATGAAACAAAAAATTCTATACAATTCTAAAAAATGGAAAGATCATGTGAGTCTAATTATACTAATACATTATGTTGACAATTTCGGTTCATACTATAATTGTAGTATGAAGGCGGTTGGGCAAATCGGCCCCATCGTCTAGTGATTTATGATTTCTTTCTTTTGAGGAGGCATTGGGGATTTGAATTCCCTCAGGTAGGGTACTATGAAAGGAAATTGATCATAAATTACCAATAAGCCTAAAGTGGATTCTTCTTGGGTCGATGCCTGACCGTTTCGATAGAAGAGAAGTACAATCAATCCCTCTACAACGTATTCATTTTTCAACGAAAAAAATGAAAAATTAAAAGGTCGTCTTATTCAAAACCCTAATTATGACATCTTTTCTCTCCCTCTTCACACCTTGGAACGCACAGTTCGAAAGCAAACTCCGTCCTCTCTTTGGGTGACGAGGGACAAAGCAGCAACCAAAAGCATTGAACCTTAACTTTTGCTGACTTCGAGCACTTCGAAAGAGAGTAGGTGCTGACCGAGATAAATGCACATCTTCATTTGAAATGAAATGGCTGGGAGGGCAGAGCAAAGGTTTCTTTTGGGTTGTGGTGGGGGTGACAGTGGACGTGCTCATACGGTTTCATAGAAGGATATGATAAATTACTTGATTGTTGGGATCTTTGACTCATCTATACGTTTCGATCACATAGGAGACATCGTGTCAAGCGCACATGGAAAGACTAATCTAATAAAAGCTTTTCTTTCGTTTTTCACTGCCAAGGAAGGGGGTCCCAAAGATGGTAAGTCTTTTTATTCTTAAGAAGGAAAGTCTTTTTTAAAGTTCTATAGAAATTTATATATGAAACTGAGATAGTCTTTTGACTCCATTATACAGTGGCAGAACAGGGCTAAGGCAGTATGTTCGACGGAGATTAGGATGAGTTTTGATGAATAAAAGAAAAATGAGTAGACATTTTCAGATCAAACCTATTTTCGGACAAATATTATTATTATTATGTTGTAGATTCGTATCTCTTTTTATTCCAGTAATTAATTTTATTCCTACCATGTGATTTACATGACAAAAAATGTTCTTGATTTCTTTTCTTTCCCTTATCTGTTTTAGATTAAGTTCTCTAATTAATTGGTCAATGTTTTTCCTCTTTTTTTTTTGCGGGTGCATGACTGAAGTTAAGAGGAGGCTGTGGGCCATGCAATCTAAGTCTGTGAATTAATTTTGTTTGGGAAGTGGAGGAGAAAAATGTTCGAGGAATTGAACATGTGTGTAGAAATAAAATTATACTAGTATCCCTATTTCTAGATGTGGGATCATTGCATAAATTTCAGTGAACAAGAACCCAAAATTCAAGAACCCTGATTTGATGGGGGTGTCTCTCTCTCTTTTTGTTCAATGTGCAAAACTACAAATCCTCGCATGCTTTTCCCCCAATTCTGCTGATTGGGGTTTGAGAAGAAGAAGAAAAGACAAGACATAGCTAAGAATAGCCAAATCAATGATTAATTTTGAATATTTGAATAGCCAAGAAAAAGACACAGTTTTGATCTTTGTTCAGGTTACGAACACCCTAGAATTTGTAGTTGTATTTGGATTGATATGAGACTAATATGGATATTTATTCTCAAGGATAGGCATGGAAAGCCTATTAATGAGATAGACACTGTTTTAGAAGCGACTGAATGGAGAAGGGCCAATATGCCTGATGAAGAAGAGTGAGGCCAGTGATATGTTGATGACGACCTTCATATAATTGGCAAGTGAGTAAATTATCAAAGTCCGAAGTGACATGGTATGTACGCTCTAGAGTCCAAAGCCTTTAATGAGGAATTCTTGCTATTTGTAGTAGGATAAATAATTATTTACATTAATTCCTTGTGTCGTGTCAAAATTTATGGTTGTCAGCTGCTACTTTCTCCTTGAGGTACTCTACGGCTACATTCCATTTGGGTTTGTTGCAAGTCAAGAATCACTTTGTGCTAAAGGAAGCCATTATTTTGTTGGACTCCTTACTATATGTTTCATCTATAATTTAATTGGACAATAAGTGAACCATCGAATTCCATACCTCTGGAAATGTAAATTTCAAACCGAGGGCCATCAGAATTTGATTATACAACACAATTTCTTCACATTTTATGTGAACCAGTCACACTTAAGGAGGACCTTTCGTGTCTCATTATCGTTTGCCCTTGTTAGGCGCTAAACCTTGCGATGTAGAATGATAGGAACTTGGAGATGGGGGACAAGTTAATTATGCTATTTATCACGGTAGTAATGCTAATATTTATTTATTTATTTATTTTTATGTTATTAGATAAAGCTTCGAGGAAAGGAACAGCGAGAAACATTCAAAACCTACTTCAAAAATTATTCATCAGAATTTCACGTTTATGTCCAATATCGTAAAACTAGAAGATCTTTGCTTAAACATTGAGGCACAGTACCTAGACTCTTTTTATCATATATCAGCAAACATGTTGCATTTATGATTAATATCTATGTCTAACGAACTCGAAATAGTGTCACTTGAAATGTAAATGACTCGTTTTTACAAGTAGATGCTTTCAAGATATAGTATGAATTAGGCTTTTCTTTTCCGGAAAAAAATATCGGCATAAATTATTTTTTAGTTAGTTTCTTTAGTATATTTCTTTTCCGGAGGCCATATTTGTTTGGACTTCATGAGCTTATCTCACTGCTCATTTTTCTTACCACAAGTGTTTGGGAAACTCATTTTACTTGAGAGTTTTTCTTGCATCTTTTTACCATTTGTAGTTTTGATACTAAACATGTTGAGGGAATGAAATTCCGAATTGTGTTTGAATTTAATTGGGAGTTCGTTACTTTGGGTTTGAGGTGTTGAGAACTAGAATAGAGGCACACATGTTGGAAGGCAATGCAGGTGAGTTTGTTGCCTGGTGCTAAACTTTAATGTTGCACGAACCTTATGCTGAATCCTAAACTCCAAACATCTTCTATCTTCTATACTCTGTCACAGCACATTTTCTTTCCTCTTTATATAGGAACCCATGTCCTCCATGTTTTTTTCTGTTGAGCTTATGTTAATGTGCTGCCCTTCTTGCTAAAATTGCATTATTAGTTTTGGTGCCACTTGTAAATTTGCACAAATAGGTTTGTCAAATGATTCTAAATTTGTGTTTACAATACAAATCTTCTATATCCCAGCTTGACACGATGCAGTGGATTATGTACATCAATTGATATTTGAATACCTCGATGAATAGATATTTGGTCAATTAAATTGGCTTGATTCATGAAGAGAAGGGTTAATCTTGTATGGTTCAGAACATTTGCACATTTTATCCTTCCGAATGCCAATGCAGACCCTTTGACCTTTGTTTGAAGACATGGATAATGAAAAAAATAGTAATACTTTTATGCCGAACGGTTCTCTCATAAAGCCTGTTGATGAAAAACAAACAAGAAACCGTGATGACCTTTTGACTCGTCGTCTAAAGAACCGAGAAAGGCAGCGTCGATATAGGGCTCGGAAACGTCATGAAACTGATTTGAAGAAGGCATTAACCAGGAATCAATCTACTCCAGTTCAGTTTCATCAGGTGTCTACTGAAAACCAATCTACTCCGCTGCAAGTAAAGGTTTCCCAAAGTGTAACTTCCCCAGATATTGTGACCCGTGTTCATTGCCAACGAGACTGGAAGCGAGATGCTAGAAGGGCCCACATAAATACAGAACAAGAAGACAGATTTAACTGCCCCAATAATTTTGGGACACCAACACTTGATGGAAGTCCAGTACCCACCTTGCAATCAGGTCTGACAGTAGTTTCAGAGATGAATAATGGAATTCAATCCAGTGCTCCTGTCCCAGAGGATAATACAGCACATAGATCAGTACCTAGCCGCAGACACTGGAAAGCAGAGGCCAGAAACAAGAAAACCTAAACTGGCTGAGGCCATACTTTTTTCAGGGTTAGTGTGAATGTCTAGCCGATGTTAATAATTGCTCGATAACTTCTTGGCTTAGTAGGAGCTCTTAATGGAAAGGGAATTTGCTATAGAAATCATGTAATATGAGTAAGTTATTGTTGTTGGCTTCTGTTGTTTATTGGAACTTCAATTTTATTTCATTCCCGTTGTTGTTGCTATTGCGAATTAAAGAAATCAACAAACAAATTGAACGGTAACGTTCTAGTTTTTTGTTTGAATTGCTTGCACTTACCAAGACTCGTAGAGGCACTCAGTAAAATGCGGCTATCGGCTAAAGCAACTTGTGATGTGAGAAAATAGGGCGGTTTTGAAATCCGTCTTTAGAAGTCCTATTTCATGGAATCTTTCCTTTAGAATCAATGCATCTTTGATGTGTATTACTTCCTGTATCTCTAGCTACT